GAAAAAACAATTAAGTGGTTGCTGCAACAATGAGGAAAGTATGATGTTGTCTTGGATCAGGGTGGCAGCAGTAAAGGTTGTGAAAAGATGTTTGATTTTGTGTGTATTTTAATGGTGGGACCAACTGAAATTGCCAGTGCATGAGAGAAACAGAAGAATTAAGGATGACGCCAAGGCTTTTGACCTGGTGACGTTTTCATGAAGTGAGGTGGGGAGGGTCTTGAGAGGATGTCGAGGTGGGGAGGGTCTTGAGAGGATGTCGCCGAGGGAGCGGATCAGATCTCTTTGTTACATGTCAAACATGAGGTGCTGATTAGTGATCCAAGTGGGGCTGTTGATTCGGCAAGTGGCTATTAGTTTCTGAGGTTTGGAGAGAGGTTGAAGCAAGAGACAGACATTTGTAAGTCATTGGAAGTTATTAGGCTGGTTAAAGCCTTAAGAGTCCTTAAGCTGGAGAAGCGGATCAAGGATTACGCCCTCGGTCACTCTTATATTAAGAAGTCAGAAAGAACGGTGACAAAAATGGCAGAAGAGAACGAGGACAAGGTAAAAGGGCACCGAGGAGAGTGTGGGTTCCTGGAAGTCCAATGAGGACAATGTTTTAAGGATCCGAGGTCAACAAAGATGAGATTGTGATTAGCCATTGTAGATAATATTGATGGTTTCGATGAGAGTTGCCTTAATGGAGCATTAGGGCCACTTCTCAGTTTGCGGAAAAGAGAAGCAGGGAGATGAGAAAAGAAGAAACAGATGTGTTTGTTTAAAATTGTAATTTAATGTCCTTAGTAAGTAGCACATATACAACAGAAATAACTTTTATATGTCATCTATATATATGCATCTATGTGTATCTTTAGGTGTGCATATGTACATATGCACACCTAAAGATATACACAATGATCAAGAGACCCAAACACTGCTACTTAATCATCTCTTTGCTTGTTTCCTGTGTCCTAGAAATGACTTCATTAGAAAGAACTTCTATTCCCGTCGTAGTGTAGTAGAATGAATTAAAGGTTTTATTTCCTTCTAGGTTTAAGAAGTTTGATGATAAATATCTGCGGAAGCTTTTGATTCGAGAAAACCAACCTAAGTCAAGCATTGTGTCCTTATATAAGAAACTGGAAATCAAGCATGCCATTGAGATGGCCGAGACTGGGGTGCTGTGTGCAACCCCTTCAGTGGCATCTCTGAAGTAAGTGCACTTTGGCCCAGAAACTCAGTCTTACTAAGACTACCTTCAGAGGTTTTTGAAACCAGTTATAAACAAGCTTTGACTCACCATAAATATGTGAAAGCCTGGAAATATGTACGTTATTTAATATCTGGTTGTGTTAGATTATCATAGAGTTTCCAATAAGGCTTTATTTTTATTTTATTACCGGGGTGAATTTAATGCTTATTACAAGGATATCAGAGCCTTTTTAATTTATTTTTTTAATCATCTTGTTGGGGGCTCAAACAGCTCTTATCACAATACAGCCATCCATCCATTGTGTGAAGCACATGTGTGCATTTGTTGCCATCATCATTCTCCAAACATTTTCTTTCTACTTGAGCCCTTGGTATCAGCTTCTCATTTTTTGCCCTCACTCTTCCATCCTCCCTCCCTCCCTTTTCCATCCTCCCTCCCTCACAAACCCTTCATAATTTATAAATATTTATTTTTTCATGTCTTACACTGACCGATGTATCCCTTCACCCAGTTTTCTGTTGTCCTTCCCCTTGGGAATGAGTTATATATAGATCATTGTGATCAGTTTCCCCTATCTCCCCCCACTTTCCCCTTCCCCTCCTGGTATGGCTACTCTCAATTTTGGTCCTGAGGTGTTTATCTGTCCTGCCTGGATTCCCTGAGTTGCAAGCTCTTATCTGTACCCATGTACATGCTCAGGTATAGCCGGATTGTAAGGTAGAATTAGGGTCATGATAGTGGGGGAGGGGGAGTATTAAAGAACTAGAGGAAAGTTGTACGTTTCCTAGGTGCTATACTGCACCCTGACTGGCTCATCTCCCCATGACCCTTCTGTAAGGGGATGTCCATTTGCCTACAGATAGGCTTTGGGTCTCAATTCCACACTCTCCGTCATTTGCATTGATATGATTTTTTTTTTTGTTCTGGGTCTTTGATGCCTGATACCTCGTCCTATCCACACCTCAAGATCACACAAGTTGCTGTGTTTCTTCCATGTGGACTTTGTTGCTTCTCAGCTAGATGGCTGATTGTTTCTTTTCCTTTTAAATCATTCTATTAGGGGCTCATATAACTCTTATCATAATCCATAAATACATCAATTGTGTAAAGCACGTTTGTACATTAATTGCCCTCATCATTCTCAAAATATCCACTCTCCACCCAAGCTCCTGGCATCAGCTCCTCCTTTTTTCTTCCCTGCTCCCCCTCTCTCATGAACCCTTGATAATTTACAAATTATTATTTTGTCATATCTTGCACTGTCCGACATCTCCCTTCACCCACTTTTCTATTGCCCATCCCCCAGGGAGGAGGTTATATGTAGATCCTTGTAATCAGTTCCCCGTTTCCAACCCACCCTCCTTCCACCCTCCTAGTATCACCACTCACACCACTGGACCTGTAGGGATCATCTGCCCTGGATTCCCTGTGTTTTCAGTTCCTATTTGTACCAGTGTATATCCTCTGGTCTAGCCAGACTTGAAAGGTAGAATTTGGATCATGATAGTGGGAAGGGGAAGGAAGCATTTAGGAACTAAAGGAAAGTTGTATGTTTCATCGTTGCTACATCATATCCTGACTGGCTCGTCTCCTCCCCGAGACTGTAAGGGGATGTACAGTGGCCTACAAATGGGCTTTGGGTCTCCACTCCACACACACACCCTCATTCACAATGGTATGATTTTTTTGGTGTGATGATGCCGGATACCTGATTCCTTTGACACCTCGTGATCACACAGGCTGGTATGCTTCTTCCATGTGGGCTTTGTTGCTTCTGAGCTAGATGGCTGCTGTTTATCTTCAAGCTTTTAAGACCCCAGACGCCATATCTTTTGGTAGCCCGGCAACATCAGCTTTCTTTACCACATTTGCTTATGCACTGGCTTTGTCTTCAGCAATCGTGACAGGAAGGTGAGCATCATGGAATGCCAAGTTGATAGAACAGAGAATTCTTGCATTGAGGGAGGACTTGAGTAGAGGCCCAATGCATGGACCTCTTATAAATGGAACATTTATAAGTATATTATGAGCACACATGTAATTATGTATCCATTTCCTCATAGATTATCCACATTACAGATGTAATTGCTTTCCAAATTCCTGCTCTAGGAGCATTTAGCATTTCCAATTCATGGGTTGATTAAGTACGATAAATATATTTCTAGATACTTAAACTTTAGTAAGATCCCTTTGTGTTTAAAGTAGTCAATGTAGAGAAATATAATCTCTTGGGGGTCCGCTGATCTATCTACCTATCTATCTTTTTCAGCAAAATGAAAGTGGAAACCATGTACTTGATCGTAACATTTCACTGTACAGCTCAAAAGGTGGTCTTAATATGCAAATTATTCATGTGGACTTTGAATGGCCTCACTAAGTTTCACCTCTGGAACCCCTTGAATTAGAAAATGTTGCATAATAATATGTACCTTTACAACAGTAATAAAAAGAAGAATGAATTGAGTTTGAGCTAGATGTTTATGGGCACCACCTTGGCTAATTTAAACAAATATCATACGGTGTTCACTTTGGGTCTTCTACTGTGAAAGAACCCATTATTCCAGAAGAGAGACAATATCACTGAATCATAGTATAGATGTGGAAAGGATACTGGTGGTCATCTAGTACAGTGGCTCTCAGTTCTTGTTCTATATTAGAAATATATGGAGTATTTATATATTAAAGATGCCTGGGCACTGGAAGTGTAATTGTAGGCATTAGGCTGCTAGCTGCAAGGTTAGCAGTTTGAAACCACCCTCCACTCCTTGGGAAAAGATGGCGATTTCTACTCCCATCAAGAGGTACAGTCTAAGAAACTCACATGGGGAAATTCTACCCTGTCCTATAGGGTCACTATGAGTTGGGGTTGACTCAATGGCAGTGAGTGAGGTTGGCCCTGCCCCCTGCCCCTAAACTGACAGGATTAAGGAAGTAGGTAACTAAATTAATGGCTGATTTTATAGTTGCCATGTGAAACATGTGACTTTTTCTGAAATATTTTCTCCCAGGTGGAAATAATGTAATGGGAAGTCCAGAGTTCTAAAAGTAATTTCTTTTAGAAAGATTAATACAAAACTCGCCCCAGTGAGTTGGAGGTTGAAGGTGTCTCAAATATCCAATTTTCCCAAAATGTTATGTCTCAATCATCCCTGGTATAAAGCACCACTTTTCTCCTCAATATGATTCCCCTGGCCCAGTGCTCAGCAATATGCTGAATGTCTCATAGAACTAGTGAATTATCAAGGAAATGGTTCTTGCATCTCATGTAGTGGAGACTGATAAGCCTCAAACCCAAAGCACCGATGTCTCTCCAGCTAGAGCAGCGGTTCTCAATCTGTGGAACGCGACCCCTTTGGGGGTCGAATGACCCTTTCACAGAGGTCACCCAATTCATAACAATAGCAAAATTGTAGTTATGAAGGAGCAATGAAAATAAATGTATAGTTGGTGGGGTCACCACAACATGAGGAACTGTATTTAAGGGTCCTTGCATTAGGAAGGTTTAGAACCACTGATCTAGCGAATCCTCCTCATTGACAAGGCTGTGAAAGTTGTGGATTGGGTCAGATGATAGGGCGCAACTCACGTTCTAAGAACTGGAGTTCAGGCAGAGGCAAGCCAGGTATAGCATCAAGAGCAAGAGAGTGAACTTTGCCAACTATTTTTCAGCTCAGGTCCTGAGGTGTGAGATGTCTGATAGTGAAAGCAGAACTTGCTAATGTCTCCAGGCAAAGATCACAGAGATAGATCTTGCCCACTACAAGGCTTTGAGGTACTTGCGGTTTTAGTCCTCTGATGTCGAAAGGATAGGTGGAGGACATGCTGATCACTTTTGCAAATCTTATCTGAGTCCGATCTAGTCTAACCCAACTCCATGATCCCAGTCTACTGCTTTCTCAATTAAGCCGGCAGCCAGCATTTTACCTATTAAGGGAGCCATTTAAGACCAAAAGTTAACTCGTGCTTTGGTAGTGACTATAACCCCAGGTAGCGAAGATAGTGTTTATAAACATTACAAAATGGAAGGTTGTGGCTCTAAGGGCCATATTAAGTAATTAACTATCTCACAGGGTGGTATCACCTAATAACTAGAAAAGGAGGGTACGTATCTTTTTAAATTGTTCGAGAGGAGAGCTTTCATGGCAATGAAACATAATAGGTTAGTCCCCAAGAGAAGAAGAGCATCAGGAAACTAGAACTGACACTTGTCATCACCCTGCCCCTTGAGCCAACTTTAAAATATGGCATCTGAAAGCCTGAGAGGCTAACAGAAGTTTTGATAAACCAATTCATATGAGGGAATAAAATTGGAATTCAGCACTTACCAAGAAGGAGGCACTCTTGTATCCAAATGTAGACAGCTATTTTGAAGTCTTAAACCTTAGTTTACAACAAAATAAATCCAGTCTAGAATCATCTCATTCCATGGTTATTAAAATAATCTAGGATTGATCATAACCCTATCCAAGTTGTTTGAAAAATCGTCAATCTTCTCTAAAGGAATGTCAGATCATACAACGCCTTTCACTCCATCTGTTTGTTTATACATAATGTCTCGCAATCACTAAAAATTAATCAAGTTTATGAATAGATAATAGTGTTAATGAAGCATTGAATAAAATATTTAAAAAATACAATGGAAACAGGCACAAAGGGAATAATGATTTATCAGACATAGGCTTTAAAATTGGAATGGGAACACATTAATATATTTATAGCAACAAAGACTCATTAACATTTTGACAGAGTTATGGTGACTTAAGAATGAAAATATGTAAGTTGGAATTCTATAGTTAGAATATATAATAAGTAGAGTTAAGATTGTATTTGGTAAGTTCAACATCAGATCAGTTACAATTGAGATAAATGTGAACTGGAAGATTGGTCAGAAGAAGTGAAAGAAAAGAAAAAAGCTTTAGAATGAAATTTCAAAAATGCATGGAATCTGTTAAACAGATCCAGAAAGAAATGAATAGGAGAATAGAGTATAAACAGTATTTGAAGAAAACCAATGACTAGAAATTTTCAAAATGGATAAAAGGTATGAAGTATAATAGATTCCAAACAGATTCCACCCCCCAAACAAATCAAACTCACTGCCATTGTGTCCATGCTCACTCACAGTGACCCCCCTGAGGGTTCCCTAGACTGCAACTGTTTACTGGAGTAGAAAATCCAGTCTTTCTGCCTCTGAGCTGCACGTGGTTTTGATAAAGGACTGCGATAAAGGTCGCAGTCCACTGGATGACCACTACACCACCAGGTCTCCTCATCCACACATTAGATAAAATTAAATGTGAGTCTAAACACATGCTAGTAAAGCTGCTCAAACTCAAGCACAAAAAGAAAGAAAATCTTCAATATACAAAGAAAACCAGAAATCAAACCCACCACTATACAGTCTATTCTAAATTTGGGTGACCCTATAGGACGGGGTAGAACTGTCCCTGTGAGTTCCCGAGACTGTCACTCTGCAGGAGTAGAAGACTCATCTCTCTCCTGTGGAGCCGCTGGTGGTTTCAAGCTGATCACCTTGTAGTTAGCAGCCCAACAAGGAACCATATTGTCACCGGGGCATCTAAATATGCATGGCAAGGGGGTGCTTAATATAAATGAATAATGCTGATGTCACAACAAAAGCAATGGAAGACAATGATATCTTTAAGATTCCGATAGAAAATAACTATCAAACTAGTGTCCCATACCCTGCTGAAATATCCTCATAAAAAACAATGGTAGAAAAAGGTGTATTCAGACGAACAGTAACTATCATCCTAAACTAAATACTAGCCAGTATTTCTTTTGTAAAAGAAAAGAAATTTTATTGAGAAGCTTGGAGATGAAGGAAAAATTCAAAACAATGCAAAGACTAAATATTTGGATAAATTCAAATGACTATAAGAAATATTAATTTCTTAGGGAGCTTTGATCATATGTAGAATTAAAATTTACAACACTAGTAGCTTTTAATATGAGATGGTGTCAAAAGTCTTAAATTGTTCTAATATCCTCTGTTACCTCTAAATGGTCAAAATAACAATTTACTTTGGCCTTTAATAAATCAGTGGTTCAGGTTGTAATTCAAGGTAACGACTAAAAAAAGTAAAGAACATTGAAAAACCAATAAAAAGGAGAAATGAAAGAACAAAATACAATAACTTTTTTTAAAGTCATTAAGGGAGAGATACTAATCATCAGAGGCAGAAATATAGATTATAATAAGATGAAACTCTCAAACCTAAAAGTAAGGAAATTAATCATTTTCCCACTAGATGAGCAGCAAGCAACTTGCTCTGAGTTAGTGCATCCAGTGGGGTTGCCTGGGAAGGTTCTCTCTGGTCACATACATTGTTTCATAAAGGAGTTTTTCTCAAACCTCGTTTTTTTGGTGATGGCCGATTTAAGAGAACAGCTTGCAGTTGTGAAATTTTGTTTCCTGCTTGGGAAAAGTGCCACAGAAACTGTTGTGATGTTGAACAGAGCATACTTAGAAGGACAGCGCTATGGGAAAACCTCACGTGTATGCGTGGTTTTCTCATTGCTAAAAACGTGAAATGTCCATTGATGACAAACCTTGTTTTGGAGGTCCGTCAACTTCCTGAATGGATGAAAATGTTGACTTATAGTGCATTTGGAGTTCATTCCACCAGGTCAGACTGTTAATCAAGCTTTCTAGTTAGAGTTTCTAAAAAGATTGTGTAACAAAGTGTGACAAAAAAGGCCTGATTTGTAGCAGGCGTGGGACTGGTTTTTACCACCATCTCCATGACCTCTTCACACAGCTATCTCCGTGTGCCAGTTTTGGGCAAAAAACAACATGCCTCTCTTGCCCCCATTCCCCTGACCCACCTGACCTCACTCCGTACTTCTTTTTGTTTCCACCAATGAAGAGGGACATGAAAGGACAGCGATTATATAGAAGAGGCGAAGAAAATAATGAGGGGAGGTGCTGTCAACTATCCAAACAGATGCGTTTGAAAAATGTTTCCAAGAAGGAAATCACAGCTTTGTTAAATGTATTAAGTGTAGTGCAGAGTACTTTGAAGGTGTTAAGGTTGTTTTGTAAAAATATGTAAATACATAACTTTGAAAAAAATTTTTTTTATTTTAGGGGAATTCCCCCTCATATAATCCATAAATATAGAATCTCAAGTAAAAAACATTGCTACATATAAAGAGATAAGTTATAAAATGATAAGGGTTCAATTCAGCGAAAGATAAAATAAGTCTTGATGAATATGCAAAATAATCACATATCTTCAAAATATATAATATTCTTCTATAGAATCTTTGGTCAAAATATTCAGTAATGGTAGCCATGAGCCATCCAATCCTTCCGGTCGTTCGGCACAAGAGGCAGTCGTTTATATCTTGAATAAATTTTTCAGTGAAATGAAAGTTTTAAAACCTTAAGTTATTTTAAAAATATTGCATCTAAGAAAATCCAGGTAATGCTGTATCTCAGCTCAGGTATAGCTAAGGAAAAAAAAGCAGGTGATTAATATATTTATTGAGTAATGAGACCTTTCCTCCTATACTTTCACAGTGACTGTCGTGAAGAAAAAATAAGAAAACTCACACCTGGTGAAATGGATGAAATTCGAGAAATATTATCAAGAAATCTCTATCAAATCCGTCAGCGGGTGAGGATAAATTTTTAAATAAAATCCTTAACTTGCCTTTGGCTAGAAATGTCCGTTCCTATTGGGTCTTCTAATTGGATGTCCCACCATTGACATCAAACTCTGTTTGGCCCACACCAGGCACCTCTCTCTTTCTCCCTCAGTCCTTCTTTGGAGCGTCTCCATCTTGTCACGGTACCACACTCCGTTCAAACACCATAACTAAAATCCCAGGGCCTTCTGAGTTTTCTGTTACTATAGGCTGGGAGATAAGATGGTGAAGTTATCTGGATTATCTTGGAGCTTGATTCAGCAAATTTAACAGAAGATTTGGGAATGAGAAGGGTCGCTGCGAAATTTGTGCCTCAGGTTCTGAATGACCAGAGAAAAGAGCATAGAGTGGAAACATGCCATGCTTTGAAAGAATAGCTCCAATGCAAGCCAGACTCCCTCCCTCCCCAAAGTCATTACTAATGATGAGATATGATGCTATTCTTATGACCTTGAAAGCAAATATCAGTCAAGCCAGTGAAGGCGCCATCGTAAGCTCACCCCATAAAAGCAAAATCAGAGATCAAGATGATGTTCATTTGATTTTTTGATGTGAGGAAGATAGTGCATTTGGAGTTTGTTCTAACAGATCAGACTCTTTGTCAAGCTTTCCATTTGGAGCTTTTGAAAAGATAGCATAGCAGTGTGTAACAAAAAAGGGCTGATTTGTGTCAGACAGGCGACTGGTTTTGCTACCATGATAATGCACCTGCTAATGGAGCCCACTGAGTGCACTAGGTTTTGGGAAAAACAGCATGCTTCTCTTGCCCCATACACCTGACTCACCTGACCTCGCTCTGTGTAACTTCTTTTTGTTTCCGCAAATGAAGAACATAAAAGGACAGCAATTAGATGCCATAGAAGAGATGAAGGAAAAAAGGAAGATGCTGTCAGCCTTCCAAACAGATGCATTTGAAAAATGTTTTCAATAATAGAATTACAAATATGACAAATGTATTGAGTGTCACGAAGAGTACTTTGAAGGTGATAAGGTTGTTTGTTAAAAAAAAATATTAATACTTAGCTTTAAAAAATATGTCCAGTGTTTTTTGTTCCTTTCTCATAGTTCTGGACACTGGTATATTCAAGAAATATATGTTGATGCTAGTTTTAGAAATGAACTTAATTGCTTATTATGATGCATCTTAGAAAACATATCTAAATAGCTTATCAATTTCTAAAAATTCTGTGTGTGGACCTAATGTAGACAGGCTGTCACCTTCAAATACTCTTACATTTGATCAGTTCTAAAGTTACCTAAAAGGACATGGCACCCCCAAGTGGCTTCCAGTGGTTACTTTTTTCAGTTGTTTGAATGCTTGGTTTGGTGTGTGTCTTTGTGTGTTTAAATGGCACCAATTTATCTTCCGTTGCAAGTGCATGAAGATTATTTTTGAAAATTTAATTAAAAGAAAAAATTTTAATTGTCTAAAAATTTTTTAAATGTGTATTTTTAATATCTTCTAGTGATGACTAACTATTTATGATACTTTGATGTAGACAAAGACACTTCATGAATTCCGGCATTTTCCTCATTTCCAATGATTGGACTTTTCAGTGTAAGAAAAATATTCACTGATGTTTATTCGAGGGGAAACGTGGAATCTCAGATCTTGAAAGTGTTGATGTAATTTTTATGTCTCTTCTTGCGCTGCACAGGGCCAAAACCCAAGAGCCATGGCATAGCTTTGGAACACCTCGGGGAAATGCTTGATGCTTTCATGACATGTCACTGACGTGTTTGCATTTCAGACTTTGTCATACAACAGACACAACCTAACCGCTGACACCAACGAGAGGCAGGCCAAAGAGATTCTGATCCGCCGGCGCCACAGTCTGAGGGAGAGCATCCGGAAGGACAGCAGCTTGAATCGAGATCGCAGGGTAACTGGAATCTGTGACTCTGAACTTGGCATACGATTTCCAGCAGTGGAGACAGCAGACCGAAGGGATGCTGAGGGTTGATGCTGTGGTGGGGGACTCTGAAACCAGATTTACTTGAGGGTGAAATTGATGATAAAATGTTCCTAGATATTTTGTGAACTTCTGTTATATCCCAGACGCTGTTCCAGGCACTTGAAATACATCAGCGAACAAAGTAGAAGAAGACGCCTGTATTTGTATGATGCATATTCTAGTGGAGGAGAAGAAGGCAATAAGCAATTATGTTATGAAAGGTGGCAATAAATATGATAGGGGAAAATTAAACAAAAATAGAGTCAAGGAAGGAGCTTGAGAATATAGAGAGGAGTGAAACGAAGCTATCATCTTAAATAGAATGGCCGGGAGACTTCATGTGGAAAGGAACAGTTGGGCTTTCTGAGGAAAGTTAGTGCAAAGGCCCTGAGGTGGGCAAGTTGTGAGTTCCCAGAGGAATGATGAGAAGACCTGGCTGGGCAGGGTGAGCAGAGCATTCATGACGAGGTTTGTTCCACGAAATTTAGTTGGTCTGATGCCTTGTGAGTAGATAAAGAAAACCCCTTTGGTCAAGGATATTGTGATTATTGATTCACTGTAGCAGGCATTGCATCTTATTTTTAATAATATTCTGGGTTGTATCATCAGAGAACAAAATTGTTATATGTGAACAAGATTATCTCTTTCATGTCTAAAATGTGGCCGCCTCAGTTAAAGAACCAGAGACTGTGGCATGGGAAACACAGCCAGAGTAGCTAAGACCGTTTGTTTTTCTCTCCTTTTCAAACTCTACTGAAGTAAATAAAATGTAAACATTTTACATTTTCACATCTTTTCTTCCCTTATTAGTTCTAAGTCTTTTAGTAATACTCTTAGAAATAGATGTTCCTATAGGCTTTCTTTAAGAAAATACAATGGTTTCGCATATTATTTCCAGTGATCCCAGTTTATATCTAATTTCCTTAGTATTTATTTGTATTACACTTAGAAGAGAACTTAGTTATTCCAAATGCAATGATTGTCACTTAGAAGGTGCTTTCCTCCCTGTTCCTTTCCCCTTCAAAAGTAGTTTGGAATCAAGGACTAAAACTTTTATTTTTAACACCAATTCATGGTCTGTCAAAAAATGGTAAACTTTTAATGTAAAAGAAAAGATATTTGTGTAGTCTAATAACATCTTCCATTTCCACTTTAGGCTTCTACATCAACCTCCCGTTATTTATCTTTACCGAAAAATGCAAAACTTCCAGAAAAGCTACAAAGGAGAAATAATTTTTCTAATGCAGGTAATAAATATGCTTGGAACAACAACAAGAAGACCATTCAAGTTTTATTTCCTATTCTAATGAAAGAGAAATTTCTTGATTCTTCCTTTCAATTAAGTACAACCAGGAAAAATCTTGAAAATATAAAATAGTGATATGGTTACCTCAGATTGGCTTTGTATCACAACATTTATAAATGAGGTTCTGTGTACCTTATAAATAATGCAGTTATTCCTCATAATGGTTCTATGAGAGGTCTTCAAAAACATTTGTGTAAAAAAGGAATTGAAAGGTAATGGGCTTTTCCTGCATGAACTTGTTGAAGCCCCTTGTATCTGATATAGCAGTAGTAAATATGGCTACCATTGTGATTAGTCAACAAGTAAATAGAAAACTATAAATGTGAAAACATGTAAGCATTTCAATTTGTGTAAGCATTCAAATGCTTTTTCATGAAGGCAACCATATATTTCACTTCTGATTATAATTATTGTATATCCTAATTATAATCATATTTTTCATAAAGCCTCATACATCTAATTATTTGATCATAATCTTTACAAGTCATTTTGTGTGAACACTATGAGGCTTATGTTAGGATTTTATATTATTACATGTGGGATATAATAATAATTCGCTTTGGTGAGGGGCTTGTTTTCTTATATAAGGACCCTTGGTGGCCCTGCAGGAGTCCTGCTGTCCTGATGCTTGGGCTGCTAACTCCAAGGTCAGCCATTTCAAACCACCAGCCCCTCTCCGCGAGAAAGATGAGGCTTTCTACTCCTGTACAGAGTTACAGTCTAGGACACCACCAGTGGCATTTCTACCCTGACTCATAGTGTCCCTATGAATTGGAACCAACAAGAGTGAGTGAGTGAGTGCGTGAGTGGTGAGTCCTGTGCCTTAGATGTTCGGCTGCTAATACAAGGTTGATGGTTCAAACCAAGTAGCTGCTCCAAGAGAGGAAAATGAGACTGCCTCCTCTTCTGAGCATTTAATCTTAGAAACCCTCCACTGAGCCACTATGAGTCAGAATTCATTAGATGGGTTTGAGTTTGGGCCGAGTTGGTTATTTAATTGACTGAGTAGAAGGGAGCCGAGTATTAGAGGTTGAAGAATGGGAAGAGAAAATAAGGAAGGATAGGAGAATATGAAATATTTAGAATGTTGGGCCACGCGTTATCACCATGTGATGATCAAAAATGAGGTTCCAAGTTAAGTATCTTCACAAAGGCTTGGAGTTCCTGGGTGCTATAAACCATTAAGGGACTCAGCTGCTAACCGAAAGGTTGGAGAGTCGAATCCTCCCAGCCTCTACTGCCCCATGGAGTTGAACATGAGCTGGCATCCAATTGATGGCAAATGGTCTTTTGACAAACAGCTTACTACCTGACAGACACAGGGCTAAACTTCTTGGATACACTGTCTCCTTGGGTCTTTCCCATGGCAGGTGAGACCATAGGTCCTGCTGCCAGACCATCTCCATGCGAATTCTAGCTTTACCACTTATTACACTTCCATTATGAACCAAAGTTGCTTTATCCATAAAATGGGTGATTATGAGGATTAAATGGGTCCATGCATTTCAAGGTGTCTGACTCATAGCGAGCCCTTCAACATTGGTATTGTTGCCAGAGCACATTGGTCACACAGCTAGAGTTAGGTTGGGGGTGGGGAGGGTTGGACAGGATAGAGGTGGTATCTTGTGTTGATCCACAAATGTGCTGTCACTTATAGCACCTGATCTCTAACATGATTGCTCACATTGCCCTTCTCTGCTCTACGGTAGATGGCAACAGCAGCGACTCTGACCCTGGTGCTGGGACCACTGTACTCAATTTGCAACCCCGAGGGAGGCGCTACTTGCCGGAACAGGTCGCAAGGAAAGCCCAGCAGACCTACAAGATGGAGTTTAAGAATGAGGTGGAAGGAGATTCAAGCAGAGAGCAGCCCCGCCCCTCTTCAACTCCTCACAGCAAAGAAGGGGGCACCCAGACCCCAGGCATACTTCGACAGCCTCTTCTCTCCAAAGGTCAGATTGTCCCAGTGAGGGACGAACGTTTGACTGAAGGCATCCGACCTAAGCCACCACCAAGGCTGGTCCGGAGGGCATCGGAACCTGGGAGTCGGAAAGCCAGATTTGGAAGTGATAATAAACCTTAATGAAAATGGCCAAGGCAGACCTGGGGGAGATGAACCTAACACAGCTGTAGCTTGTTTCTTTGACACACGACAATAATGGGATCCATCTAAAACTTTCTATGGGTCTTTCTTTGGGTGGTAGAGCCATGTTTTTGATTAATGAGATTGAACACTGAAAAAAAAGTCTTATAACATGTCTTTCTGACTTGTTGCTAGCCATTATATTCTTTGAAGGCTTAAAGGGCGGGGGTGGGGCTGGGGAGAGTGCCTTTATTATTGAACTTGAAGGAGAGAACTTGAAATTTTTAACACACCTTGTTAATGAAAATTTTAATATATATATATATATATATATATGCCTCAAATTTTATTTATGTAAAAGTATATATCTACAATCAGCTTTTAGGTGATGGCACAAAAACTACAACGTCTTTGCAGGAGTTGAATGGCAGCTCCTGCAAGCAGGGGACAGCTCTGCCAGTTCAGCACATGGGAGTTTCCCATCCTGAAAAAGAGTCCTTGGAAGAAGAAGACCACAGCCCTCAGTAGAGCAAAACCCACAGTGATTCGAAGCAGGAGAACAATTGGAGCCCATAGGCAGGTAAAGGGCCTGGCTTCTGTAGCACTTGCGAGAGGCCCTGTCATTCCAATGGAATGGGTGAGAGGCCACGGGTC